AATGGAACATGCTGTTTGCAAATGTCATCAACCTTTTTCACACTTGCAAACCTTAACTCATTTTGATTAACATCACAATGTCACCTTCAAAAGGAAATGAGTTCCTCTAAGAATAATTCAGAGTGAATTGTGAGAGATTTCAATCTAATCCACCCATTTTAGCATGGATCCAAACTGAGGCAAAGGCTCAGTCATTAAAGAGGCACTATTTCAGTTTCTTAATCACATAGAGCCAGCTCACTGAGTCACCAAGCACTTAAAGTAGCATTATATAGTATAAACAATGGAAAATCCCTGCATAGACCTTGTACATGAAGCAAACCTGTAATAGAGTTGTTTTATATGTTTTTGAATTCATACAAATGCTCCCTTTGTTATGCAGACTCAGCACAAAACATCATGTACCCTAATTTCACGAGTGGAGAACAGATTTGTAGTCTGTTCCCTCTGACTCTGTGTGTCTCTCTCCATATTCCTGGAATTGTATTTGTTGGAAAATGATAAAAATATAATCTTATAATTACTATAACAGCAGGTTGGTGTTCCAAATAATCAACAACAGTACAACCCACTACTTAGATACGTGAAATCATCATTAATAAATGTGGGTAAAAAATGAAGCTACAGCTTTATAATTTTTGGTGAATGTGACTACATGTCCACTCTTACCTGTTTCTTTTTGCTCTCTCTCTTTGCTGTCTTCACCCTACTCCCTCTCTATCCTCCTCTCTCTCAGTCTTTGTGCCATCACCCAAATGTTAAATGTTGCAGTGAATAAAAGATAAACTGATCCATATCAGTTTATAGCAATATTCAAACTGAATACAGGTTGCTGCTGACATACATAGATAACAACATTCTGACTTGCTGCCACCTGGATCTGGAGCTGTACAGTAAACAAACACTGAAGCCCAATTTGACCAGAATAGGAATAGAAATTTGTAACAAACTATTAATAGTAAAGTTCATCAGCTCCTTGGCTGGCAACTCGCAATATCCCAGCACACTAGTGGATTAAAGGTTAAAATTAGCTACATCAGCTAATGCTTTTGACCCTATATAGCATGCTTGAGCACACCCAAAAAGAGTCTAAACTTGCCTATCATGATGTTATGATGGTATGTCCAAGAGCAGCCTGTATTCAGAGTTCATGATCCCTTTATATTAAAAATCACAAGAAAAAATTAAGCTGAGCAGATGAGAAGAATTCCTCATATTTTATCAGTTTTAGAAAAGACAACAAAATTCAGTCACAGGTTTATTGGTAACTGCAAAGATTTGAAAGAAGAGTCGAAAGAGAAGCACTCTCACTAATGGAGGGTAACAAGAGGAAGCACTCACGTTTTTTACTCCAGAGTGTTCCCACATAGCAGACAGGTCTGGCCCGGATCTGGTGTCTAGCTGCCACTGCTGGCTGACTTCTGGCATGGTAAGTGGTATATCATCCAGATATGGGCCAGGCCTGGCATAGGTGGCACTGTCTATGTGATGGCATGCCACATCTGGCCCGATTACGGTTTGGTTTATGTGGCCCAGGCTCATTGAAAACAGGTCTGGCCTGGATCCGGCATCAAGTTGGCACTTCTGACTGACTGGTGTCATGGCAGGGTGTATGTCAACCAGATGTGGGCCAGGCCTGGCAATGATGGCACTATTTATGTTCCTCTTTTCCTATTTTAGTTAGAAGACCCAAATGCCATGTTACAATACTATACTGCAATGGTAGCCAACGTTTCAAATGCAGGTTTGACAGGTTTGTGAGTGTACATTTTATCTCATGTTTCGCACTGGGTGGCTATAGCTCAGGAGGTAGAGTAGGTCACCTACTGATCGGAAGGTTAGTGGTTCAATCCCTGGCTCCTCCAGTCTGCATGTCAAGAGTGTGAATGTGTATGAATGTAGTTAGAAAGCACTCAGTTTAGAGAAAGTGGGTGAATGTGGCATGTTGTATAGAACACTTTGAGTAATCTGGGAGAGTAGAAAAGTGCTTTGTAAGAATCAGTCCATTCACTGTCTGAACAGAGTTTCGTCATGTTATTTTTGCACTATTATGTTCCGGCACATGTTGTTATTACATGGCTTGATTAAGGTACACATTAGGCTGACATCTGGGGCCAGAGCTGAAACTGTTCTGGGCCAGCACAGAGCCCCAGCAGTATGTCTGCAACTGGCCTTGTGCTGGCCCATGTGTGGGCCACCTCTGGCAAACCAGATCTGGGCCACCAAAGGGCCGTCATTCTTTGCAGTATGTGGGCCATGTGTAAGCACATTGTGTGAGCCAGATCCGGGCCATACCAATTTTGCTATGTGGGTTACTCCTCACCTTACTCTTTTGGAGATGCTGACATGTTCTTTCATTAGATTCAGAATGTTGTGCTTTGGTCCTTAAACCTGGATACTGGTTGAAAGAACCACACAGCCCATTGTTCATTCAGTGGGCTAGTTTCAGTCATTGTGCAAGTGTACTGTTTATAAGAATGTGGAAACCTGCAGTCAGCTAAGACTGAAGAAGTCACTTGGATGAGCAACGAAACGTTTCTCCCACTGAAAACGCCACGCCAAAGACATTCTGTCTAATTTATTAAGAAATTATTTTAACAAATAAACCTTTCTTGTTTAAATATGTTATGGTGTGTTCTCCCTTTGATTGGGATGTCTTGGTGTTTTTTTTATTAAGACAAATAAAATATACACTGTACATAATAATGTACAACACAATGTTATAATAGATTTAGAGTATTGTTGTGCTGTGGGAGCTCCTCCGCATGATTATGTAATTAAGGTACGTTTATATATATAATATACTACTACTTATATAATTATAACCATCACTATATGTATAGTGTATTTCTTTCTACATTTTAGACCAGTGGACCAAATAGGTTGTGAACTGGCTTTTATTTAGGAGTAGGTAGGTCCTCTCTTCCTCGATGGCTCCATGACTCTCATTATGTTAGACACTGGTTCACTCTCTCGCGCACAAATCGCCACCAAAACACAGCACAAGCCCTGCCAGTGATTCAGTTCCTTACAAACCATTGAATTAGGTACTGAAGCAGCGACATGCCGAATGAAGCTTCAGATGTCATTGATCATACGACTCTGTTCAGACACAGGCACAGTGTTTCTGAAGCAGTGTGTTGATTTTTGTGACACATGCGCTGTCTAGATGAGGCTATTTGAATAACCAGGTTATTCATTGTTATCTTTTATTCTTTTATATTCTTTTATGAAGTTTTAAGTAGTATCATTTGATTAAAACATTTATTCAATACATTACACATATAGTTTCAGTTGTGTACGTGCTGGCCTTCTGTCTGGTGGAAAGGTTACAAGATTTAGCTGGTGAGGTGAGAGGTGAAACTGAGTGCATTTCAGGTCGACACAAACACACACACACTTAGAATCCCTCAAAATATGTTGCTTGTGACTGCAAAATTGTGCCTGCAAAAGAACAGTTTGTTGCAGAATGTGTGCCTGATGTTCCAGACGATAAGCGAGCCTCCGGCAGCGACAGGAAGACACCTGGGATGGAGACGAGGCGATGTTGTTTTTTCAAACTGTGTTAAAAGTCATTGTGGTTTTGAAACTTATGCATGTATTGTGTCTGCTTGACGCATGAGGGGGCGTCATAAAGGTAAACCCTGATGGTATAAAACAGCTGCTTGTGCATTGTTAGGGAGAGATTGATGCTGTCTGCGTACAGTGTTCATCTCCCACACGTGTGTTCATTAAAATCATCGTTTGACCAACCCTCCTGTATCCCTTCTCAATATTTGAACCCTTAACAATACTTAGGAATTTTCATTCCCATACCTTTGGACCACTTGTTTGAGAAAAATTCTAATAAAATAATTCAACGTCCCCTGGGGATAGGTTAATTGGATAATCCAAATTGACACTAGGTGTGAATGTGAGTGTGAATGGTTGTCTGTCCCTATGTGTTAGCCCTGCGACAGACTGGCGACCTGTCCAGGGTGTACCCTGCCTCTCGCCCTATGACAGCTGGGATAGGCTCCAGCGCCCCCTGCGACCCTGAAAAGGATAAGCGGAAGCGAATGGATGTATGGATGGATAATTCAACGTATCAGCAATGATTGAGAGCACTGGTCTATTCTCCTGTCCCAAATGAGCTGAGTTGAATGTTCTGCCCAGACTATTCTATTTATTTTACAGATGATACCAGTTGAAAATCCAAACGACAATGCTTGATAAGCTGGACAAAATAACTTCTAACTTCATATGGGATAAACAGCAGCGTAGAATTAGACTCAAGACCCTGCAGTTGTTTAAGATAAGGGGGGGTATTAATGTTCCTAATTTTAAACATTACTACTGGGCTGCACAAATAAAACCTTTGCTGACATGGCTGCCAAGTGATATTCATACTTGCTGGCTCAATATAGAAAATAGAAAATATCCTGAACCAATGGAAACACTTCCTTTTCTAGATAGTCTCGTAAAATAAATGGCAATCTGGAGAAAAAAAATACATTAGAGTTTTGGAACAAAATTCAGTCAGCACTGGGACCACAAAAGTATCATTCATCACTATCAAGCATTGGATCTATGAAACCCTTTTCCCTGTCCACTTTTTAAATGCAGTATTTGGATACTGCATTTAAAAGTGGGCATATAATGGACTGAAATGTGTACATCAACTATTGGAACAAGGGAACTTTAAGACATTTGAACATCTGAAGAATGAATTTAATCTCCTCAGGACAGATTTCTATAGATACCTACAACTAAGGTCCTTTTTGACAACACTCGAGAGCTAGGGAAACATTGCCAACCCCACACCAATTGAAGAATTTCTAAAAAAAAAAAAAAAACAACAACCCAAAAAACAGATGGGAAACAGAGACAAGACTACTACTATTAGTCAAACCTATGACGCATTTGCATCAATGATTAAGCATAATTCCCTGAAGATGAGGGGAAGGTGGAAAGCAGAAATAAATGAAAAATACCTGATGATACCAAGTGGGAAATATGTACTAAAGCACACCAGACCACTAATTCAAACAGATGGAGAGAGTTTAAATGGAAAATTATCAGCAGATTCTACAGAACACCAGAAATAACTGATAAGATGGGCCCCACACTTCTGAGTTCATACTGGAGGATCTGTGGGACACAATCTACCAACCATACCCATATATTTTGGCTCTGCCCTAAACTCTGTGTATTCTGGAGGCAGATATTTGATCCTATAATTTGAGTTTTCAAAGTAAATATTCCACTAAGTCCTACAGTAGCAGTTTTGGGAAGGATTCCAGAACTTATTGACTGCAAAGCCAAAACTTACCTCACTGCAGCCCTAAAATGCATAATTATTAGATGGTTAAAACCAGGACCTCCCACATATAATATATGGATCCAGAAAGTGTACGATGTCTATCAACTAGTCAACTTTCACAAGTCTATTAACCAACCAACCACGTGACTTCATGTTCCGTAGTGACAGAAGATGGCGCTTTAAACTTGAACTTTAAGCACTTATTTCTTAAATGCAACTTTACAGACAGAGTTACATCTATGCCAGTTTTTCAGAGCAGGGCTCAGTGGTTAGCCTTTATATGTATAGCATTTCACATATTATGTTTTTCTTTTCTCACAGTTCACCCACTCTTCCATGAGCTGGTCCTGGACTTTTGATCTCCTTTTTTAAGCATTCTTCTTTTTGCTTGAGTTCTTTCTCTTTTACTTGTTTTGCTTTTTTGTCAAGTACTGCCTGGCTTAAGTTTTGCTTCAGGGTAAATTGTTTCTACCATCAGCGTTTTGGCGCCGGAGCGCGCCGCTGCCTGCTGCCTTGCGCTTCTCCGACCCTGGGACACGGACCCCGCCAGCGCGCTGTAGCGGCCGCGACCGCTGGAGACAAAGAAAAACTGCTCTTCATAGAAGACTCGCGCTCTGGGAGACGTTTCCTCGACTCCGGCTCCCAGAAGAGCCTCCTTCCCCCGTCCGGAGCCGACAGTTTAGCAGCGGGCTACGGACCGCAGCTTATTGCGGCTAATGACTCTCCCATCGCAACGTTCGGGGAAAGGTTCGTGACTGTTTGTTTTCATGGTCGGGATTTCCAATGGACCTTTGTTGGTGCCGCTAGCTCTGTACCTATTTTGGGCACCGATTTTTTTTGTGCCCACGGACTGCTGGTCGATGTCGCTAACAGACGCTTAATCGATGCCCTGTCTTTTTCTTCAATACCCTGTTTCACTCGCGCCACCGAGCCCCTGAATCAGGCTAATTTAGTGACTTCAGGGAATGTTTTTCAGCGTTTGCTCTTGGAGTTCACTAAGCTCTTCACTAACTGTTCCTAATTTCTCGAACACGGCAACGAAGCACGGGCTTGAACCTTATATTCCGACGGTCGGTCCCCCGGTGTTCGCACGCGCGC